AACATTGGTGGGAACCACGCCAACCCCCCCCGTTCACATAGACGGCAAGGACTAGCCTGACGAAATCTCTCAGTCAGTTTTTTCATGCCTCTGCGCCAGTTCATGGACTTGCCACCTTGCGGTTTCGCTCAAGTTGTTGCAGCCACGGCAAACAATGCCCGAGCAACGGGCACACAGAGGACATGGAATAGACAACGTAAACGATTATGATTCAGCAAACAACCGAGTGACGGAACCAGGTTTCTTGCCAAAAAACCAACTGGCTGACCACAGTATTGCTCACCCGGTGTTCCCACCAGACGTGAGCAATGCTTCCCAAGCAACGGTGGTCAAACGCGGCTAAGCTTTCAATGTCTTCGCCTCAAACTGGCCAGGTCTCTGATTCATACAGTAAGACCGGCATTACCGCAGCGTTATAACCTTAGCTTTCACTGACAGCCTGATATCCCGCCGTCTTCACAGATGGTTGAGTCTCTGGAAAGCCACACGGGCCTTGCTGATACGCGAAATGACTTACTGGGTAATGTGATCACCAGACATGATATAGTCATCAAGGGAAGTGAACCGAACCACCACTTCCAGTGGCTGTTCGGTGATAGCTAGAACCATATGTGTGTCGGCCCAGCCTTGTAGCGGCACTTTGCATTTTGAAGGTGCAAACCACATGCCAAAGCGTGCAGCGCTACACGTCAGTCTATCCATTAGTGTTTGCGCAGCCACTGCATCAGACCCAAGAAGGGCTATGTTGTCTGCATACTCCAGGTTTGACAGTCGTCCATCTGGCAGAACTTCCACCCCAGAAACGTCTGAAAGAACCGAGTCATTCATGATCATTTCGACCACAAAGTTGAAGAGGAAAGGAGATATAGGACAAATCTGACGAACCCCACTTGTCGTGGGGAACCCAGGAGACAGTTTTCGTACACTGCCTCGGGAGTCACGGTAGAGAGATTGGATAATGGTAGGGAATCTAGCCGGCACGCAGTTCATGGATAGGTAGTACAACAAGCTAACGTTGTCTACAGAGGGGAAGGCGGCTTTCAAGTCAAGGAAAACCACTACTCGCAGCCTGTATGTGTCGCTGCTCCAACACTTGGCTAAAACATGTGAATGATACAAGCACAACCAGGAAGGAAACGAGCGTGGCTTTCAGTGATTAAGTTGCTGGAGACAGATTCCCGTGAGAAGTTCGGAGGCAATGGAGACAAGGCTAATGTCTTGATGATTTTCGCACCAAATACGTCGACCCTTCTCGAAGATAAGCACCACAGTCACCAATCTGAAGACACCTCTTCAGTATCCACAATCGTGTTAAGTAGAGAAGCGAGTCCAGTCACCTCCGTCTTTTAGCAAAGATGGAGAAAAGTGGTCGGGTCCCGGAGCCTTGTTTCGTTTCAACACGGAAGATCATGTCGAATCTCCTCTAAACTGGGTGGGGTGAAATTTACTTCCCAACTAACATCAGGTGATTTGACAAGCTGCAGTGCTGCAGCTGGCCTGCTGAACTGCTCTTTAGAATGTTCCACCTAACAGTCTAGTTAAGGAGGATGAGAATAGATCAACTGTCCATCTTTCTCAGCCATTTTCCCACTAAGTGACGGATTTCTCGCGCACGTGTTCCGGATGAGCTGGAATAGCCCTCCGTTGCTCCCAAAAGCACTGGCTTTCTCCATCTCACGGGTCTTAGCCACTCACCAAGGTTTTCGGTCAAATCAAAGATTACTTGTCAAGCGTCTTTTCAGGGAGTTACGGACACTCTGATATTCAGTGCCCATCGGAACCTGTTTCCATGCTTCGATCAAGCTGACCGATGCCTCAGATATCCATTCACAGTTATGACGTCTCAAGTTGGCTGCACTGAATGCGCCAAAGGCATTCTTTATGCCACATTGGAGACGATGCCAGTCAGTGTTCGGCTCACCGACCTCATCAATCACTGACAATCGGTGGGCAAGTTCATCATGATATTTTTGAATTGCTGATTGCGATTTCAAGTTACAAGTAAGATTAGAGGATAGGCGCTTCTCTGAATAGGGGAAGAGTACCAGACGTGTCAGCATTGCAGCATGGTCAGAATTCAGGCAAGTTCTCCAAATTGACCGACAGTCTTGGACTGATGTGCGCGATCTGTAGCTGATGATAATATGGATGCAGGTCATTGAGGAATTAGGTGGGCGCCAGGTGACGCAGTGTGAACGTTTGTGCTGGAAGGCAGTGCTGCTAATATAAACATTATGGCCGGCACACAGTTGCAAAAATCGATCACCACTGTCTTTTTGGCGTGCATCAACTTCGAAGCAGCCACCCAGCTGTTGTACAGTCTGAAAGACAACCCACATGGACAATCATGTCCCCAACAACATTCACGATGTCAGTATTCTTCGGCATGCGAAGAAGAGATGCGAGCTGTTGCTAGAAATCAACTTTAATATCCTCTGAACTGCATTCAGTAGGGCCATACATTGAGTCGATGAAAAGGCACTTTGGCTTCAGATGCTGTTTCTTAACTTCAATAGAGGTTCAAAGTCGAACCGCACACATGCGACTGTTCACCGGTATCCAGTGTAACAGATTGCCTTCAGCATATTTGCCGATGGTAATACCAACACCATAAATACCTTGAGCCATTGACTAAGTCTCGACAGATACGCGAAGAGTGTAGTCATCGTCGTCAGATGCAGAAGCAGAGTTTCGAAGATTCGTCACAACGCTGTTATCTTGTATGTGTGATTCGAAGATACTGCCCACATCAATACCAACAGAGTGAAGAATGAGAGTTAGTGTTGCCTGTTGGCCGATCTGACCTAGAGTGTGAAAAGAAGCAGTAGGTTTGATGGAAGCGCTGCACGTATGGATGGCACCAGCTGCAAGATCAGTGGCAGTCTCTTGCTCAAGAAACGGGGAAAGGAGGGGAGAGAAAAAAGAGAAGTAGAGGGAGTACTGTCGACGTGGTCGAGGGGACAGATGAGACTTCGGCTGCCCATTCGGAGAGAGGAGTGTTGTTCGAAGTCCCTTGCTTTTAGCCTTTAACTCTGCAGTCTGACCCAAAAAGCAGTGGGGTATATGGAGGTTCGCTGGAGGAACTATACCCGGAGCCTTGCCAACATGACAGTGGGGAGTGTGACTGCAGAGACCCCTGCGATCTGCATGAGGCCTGTCACACGCAGCCTTTGAAAGTTTAGAGCAATGCAGTTGTGTTTTAATATCGTATTATGTTACGCACCATGCTGAGGCTGATGTTGCATTCTTGATGCTTCTTCACCGCAGTTGGGCTAAACCAACTTACACTTAAACTAGGTCTTTTTGAGCTGGATAAATTTCATTCCGCTTTATTTGGTTTGTTCTGCCTCCCTGAATAATGTTCTATTAACTGGCCACGTTGCTTACACTAATTGCGCTTATCTTCGGTAATTTTGTTGTGTTTGTAGCATTTTAAGTAACTTGTGGACATTTCTTACTTATCACGGATTTGTTGCTGACCAACTTACTTCATATGGTAATTTAGCGAAGAGTTATGCCACCGTATCTGTATGCATTATTGGATTTATTTTATTTCAGCTTGTCGTTTAAAGTGAATGGCTGTTGTTTGATATCCCTGGTATGGTTGCGCTTGATGTGTATGTTGACAAGGTGCCTACCTGTCTATTACCCACTACCTCCTCCATACTGGCTCCAGGAGACAGTTGGTCGTTGCTGGAGGGGACGGGGTGCACGGTCGTTGTAGCCGTGCTAGGCTCAAAGAGCGGTTCCATGCACTCAGTGTGGAGCGGACTACGGTCCAGCCACCGCCTTGTGTGCGGTTGATTCCCCAAATACAGCGTGCTTGTGTTTGCCTGTGAAGGAGTGTGGGCCGGCTCCGTTGATGAAACGTGGCTCCCATCCACATGCCTCGCGGTCTTATTCCTTCGGGTTTACACTGGATATGGGGTATGTGGGTGGAGCTGTGGGTGGTGCAGCGCAAGCCATCCATGGTCCCTCTGTAGGCGCAGGCGTTCTGTGGCTTGCCACAGTGACAGGCAAATCTGAAACCGGATGCCGCCAACCATGTTACGCACCGACGACCACGGCAGCCCCAGGAGGGAGTTGATCGGTTTGCACCAATTTGACCGGGGGCTGCCTCGCTTGAAGCGGGCAGTAGCAAACCAATGAGCACCTGGAGGTGCCCTCCCACCATCAGAGACAATGCGTGACGCTCATGCTTTACGTTACTTGAGCTGAGCTTATAACCGATACAACTGTCTCCTATGGCTACGCTTTAAAAGGAAAAGGGCCATCGACCTCTCTCTAACCTCCACGGGATTGGATTGTGAAACTGAGTTAGTCTGACCCCTAACAATTGACCTAATTCGTATGAACAGATCTGAAGGCACTTGGAAAGTGCCACCTAGCGTAGCTCAATGAGTCACAGAGGTATGCAAACCATCGCACTACGGTATGGTCCAGACTCGGCACAATGGTCACACATGTAAATCAAGTGTGCGCACGATACGGAGGTATTTGTCACCACTAACTAGTGTGGAGATTGAGGATGACTGTGTTATAAGTTTTCTGTCCCCTATTCCCCTTAGCCTCCCCCACCAATCACCGCTTTATTTTAGATTCCTAATAAATAAGCATACGATTTTATTTTGCCTTGTCTTTCTCTTCACATATTTGTAATTTATTTGTATCAGTGCACAATACCAGAGGTGTTTCTTGACTCTAACTAACGCTTAGATTGATTATGATGAAGAGCATGTACATCCAGGTAGAATGTATCTTTAGTAGTAACTAAGACAAAGGTCAGGAACCGTATGACGTGGACATATCGGCCCAACTTCGATCTGAAGACTACATGTTGAGCACAACTGTGAAAGTGAAACAGGAAATGTGTTGGGGAACGCGGTTAATAATGTTGTGCGGCAGCTGCGGCTGCGTTTAGTAGCTGATTACAGTCATCAGGAGACCGATAAAAATTAATAGCGAGAAATGGAAGCGAAAAAATTTAGATGCGTACTTACTCGGAATGACGTTGGTTCAGTCGACTTCGAAGAACGTTAACGGGCACATAGGGAGGGAGGTTTGGATTGATTTCATTTTCTCGCAACTGTTGCTGAAGCAAGCCTAAAGTGAGGAAGAAAAAAGTACAGCTTATGCGGAAATGCATGAAGGTAGGAGACGACATAGCGAAGAGTAAATAGAGCTATCATCATTTTACACGTTAGCTGGAGGCACGGAACACCGCAGCTACTGTGTCGCAATACATGAGAGAAAAGAAAAAGGCAGAGAAAACATCAGAAGTACGCCGGTACACAGTACCGACGTTTCACTGCCGAGCAGCCATCACCAGTTGTACATGGGGTAAGGATACTGCCAGGGTCGACTGCTCCGCTCCGCAAGTTCGAACCTGCGAACTCAGGATTACAAGACAGGCCTGCGATCATTAAGGCCCCAGTAACGGATGGACATCGTTCCGACAATTGTGCTGCAAAATGGTTAGATTATGTATCAGAAATGAGGTAGCAGTTGGAGAGGCAGGCGAAGTAAAAGTGGTAAAGAAGAAGAAACTCACAACACAAACGTCAATGACGTCGGCCCTTTGCCAAGACAAAAAAGGCATCCAGCCAAACGTGTTCATCGTCCTTCGGGTTCCAACAGAGGCGAACATTGAACTAAGGGCCTTCATTCCTCTTGAAATGCCGTCCGTAGCCTCCATTCCTCTTCTTCCATCCACACTCAGAGCATGCAAACGTACGTCGCGAGAGTTAGTGTGCTGGCATACGCAACACATGACCGGGCCATCGAAGTCTCGTGCGCGAAATAACGATGGTGAGAGGTTCACCTCCGTTTCCTGTGCCATAAACAAGGTGTCAAACACGCTCATTGCTCACACGGTGTTCCCATCCGATATAAGCCAAACTGCGAAGGCACCGGTGGTCGAAGGTAACTAGCAACATCGCGTCTGCCGAACTAATGGACCAGGTATCGCATCCATGCAGTAGGGTTGAATGTACACTACGCTTCAGAGAGATTGATGTCACCCCAGCACCTTAGGTGGTGAAGGTTAGCAAAAGCGCTTCGAGATTGTGCTATACGGTTCGTGACTTCTTCGATTTCATTGGCGCTGGTACAACTGATTAGGTACTTGAATTTTCGAACGACGACTAGCTGATCCCCACCAAGGGTCAAAGCAAGAGGCGGTCTCTGCCTATCTTGGAGGAACGTTTTGCACATCGAGGGTGCAAAGCAAAGCCCGAAACGGCTGAGAGCCAATGCTGATTAGAAAGTTTCGGAGCTGTCACAAATTAGGGCAATGTCATCAGCATACAACAAGTTACGAAGTCGTTCACCTGCGAGCAGCTCCACACCTTCTAAGTCGTATCCAGTGAACGCGATTTCCATGACTTAGTTAATAGCGAAGCTGTAGAAGTAAGATGAGAGCAGACATCCCTGTTTTAAACAACCGAAGATATTGAAGGGCGGCGACCGCTTGCCGTAAGACCTCAGTATGCCAGAACTACGCGCGTAAAGTGCTCGAATAATATTTACATATTTCTGGGGCACACCTTTCCTGAGTAGATAGTCTCAAATGGCACATCGATTCACCGAATCAAAGGCACCTTTCATGTCGAGGAACACGAAAACAGTGGGACACCAATACCTATGACGGTGCTCCAACAGTTAACGTAAGATGAAGATGTGATCGATGCAGCCCTGACTTCGAGGAAACCCAGCTTACTCTTAACGAATCTGCCTTTCACGGTTGCTAGTCAAGCTGTGAAGGATGACAGAGCCAGGGTGCTTGAAGGCGATGAAGTTCAGACTGATTCCTCTATAGTTGCCGCATTTCGAACGGGAGCCTCTTTAGGAGATCCGGACAATAACAGAGTGGCTCCAGTCGGTTGGGACATTTTCTTGCTCCCAGTTTCACTAATAACTCGTGTAATTCATTCACAAGAGCAGCACCCCAGAAGGTGAAGAGGATTGGAGGAATATCGTCTGGTCTCGTGGCCTTTTTCAACTTCAGCAGTCCGATCTCACGTTCGACTTCGGAGCGGGAGGGACGATCAAAAGGGACAGCCCACGGAGCAGGGCGATCACTAGCAGGTGAGAAATCGAACAATCCAGGTGAATAAATGATTTCAGAGTGCTTAGCAAAACGCTCCAAGCGCTTGACAAGTTGTGGATAGGATTGTCAAATATGGCTTCAATGAACGCAAGTTTTCTGCTGCTCGTTTCTCGTATCAGACGGAATAAATCCCGATGGTTACCAAGAGCAGCGGCCACTTCCAAGAAGAGACGACCAGGATTCGCGGTCTCTATTCAGGCTAACACAGAGTTTTGCGGATATACCTTTGCGAGTCTCGTTGTATTCGCTTCCAACCGGAAAGTGCCAGCGGCCATCGATAAGTTCCAGAGACTGCGTAAAGGCTAAATGTCTAGGTTCGCGATTTGATTTAGCACGAGAGAATTTGTCTGATGCTAATAAAGTCTCGCGAACATGCGAACAGTGACGTTCGACTGTATTCAGTGAGCGCTTACTCCAACCGAATGCCAGCGTACTTCCATACGCATGCAGAGCATCTGCCTTTACCAGTTGGCATGTGTCTATGCGCTCACAAGATCATGGAGGGCGACCGCGAAAACGCACTCGCAGATCAGCACACACAAATGCATGGTCAGTGTCCACACATGTACTTCAAATCGAGCAAGAGTTTTGGGTACAGTCACTTCAGCGGTAACCGATCGCAATGTGATTGATTTGCGTCCATAGCTGGTTCGAGCCTGGTGGGCGCCACGTCATCCTCCGGCGGGTACTGTGTCGGAAATTAGTGCTCGCAAGAAATAAGACAGCATCTTCACATAAATGAAGTAACCGCTCACCGTTATCATTACGGGAGTCTACACCATGTTGGCCGTCCAGATGCAGTTCATCAGTGGATAATTTTCCAACTTGAGCGTTCAGATCCCCAGCCAGCACTACAGTGTCCGTGCTTCTTCTGCGGAGAAGGAGCTCTTTCAGTTAGCGATAGTAGCCGTTTTTACCGATCCATCGCCACAGTTCGTGGGCGCATAGGCAACGATTACAGACATCATTTGCCTCGTGCGATTTCGATTGAAATGAGTCACCCTGTCGGACCGCACAGATCCCGCATCCAATCAAGCAGAGCAGCTTCAGCCCGGCGGACCCAGGGCAATACCGACACCAGCTTGGGCGGTACTTGAAGCTGCACCGTCTCCGGACAGGCGTAACGAGAAAGCACTGCTAGTGTCATCTAAAGGGGATCGCAGTGAGCACGGAGAACGAGTCTTGCAGGGGGGTCCGATAAGCAGCAGGTATTGATCAAGAGGGTCTTTAATGTTCGGGAAAGTTGATCGATCTGCAACATTGTGTGTATGTTGAGGTATGTCAATCTGAGGAATGATCAAGTGCTCCAAATAGAAGCTAATGAACTGGGTTTGTCTGTTTGGTTGGACATGTGCTTGTCGACAGGGCTATGGATGAGACGAACAGTAATTTCGCCGTACAAAAATTTGTTAGGAACATGTATTATTCAACGACACAGAATTTGGCTATGAGTCCAACAAGCTTAACAGAAGGTCGTAGCTAGAAATACCGTTGTCTTTCCATCGACCTTAACGACAACAGGACAGCTGAATAAACAAGAAAGATGTGACTCTCCGTTTGCCCGGTACCAGAGTAACATATTCCGAGACATGAGGAGCACGAGAATATTGGGGAGACAAGTCCTCAAGCGTACTTGAGTTAGATGGAAGCAGTGAGACATGTTGACTGCCAAGCTCATAATAAGAATAATAATGTATACTGTTGTGGAGCAATCGCTCTGCCAACAACACGGAGAGAGGAGGCTGCAGTAGCTTGGACGGTAAGAAAGACAAAGCTCAAACATAATGTGGTGACTAATGACAGGCACACCAGTGTCAAACCTCACAATTAATTGGTATATGAGTTCCACATGCGACCAGTAAAAAAGATAACAACAATATATCGATACACCGTATCGACACTTCGCTGCCACGTGACCTCAAATAGTCACACGCGAACTATGTTTACCGCGAGGTCGGTCGCACCAGAGCAGATTCGAACCGGTGACCTCCGGATTACAAGACGAGCGCGTAATCCTTTCGGTCAACTGCATAAGACTGATGTACTAAGGACTAACACGAAGGTTACCAGTGCACTTCAAGAATATGATCACTGTGATCGGCTTGCCGCAGTCGACTGGGACAAGCACGTCCATCTGTGTTTGTTCGAACAGTGTGGCTGGTTCTGTGCGAAGGGCGACACAGCAATATTACTGGAAGGTCAACAGCCAGATGGCAGAGGTCAAACGCTGGAGTGCCACTGGCTCCGTGAGTGCCCCACGCCAAATAAGGTTTCTGCCCGCCGACGTCACCGATGCAAAAGCCATCAGCAGACAAGACAACCCGTGTCATTGTGACCAATTCCTGCATGTTCTGACCATACCTCTGTTCCATAAGTTTAGATTCAAACTGAGGCATGCAGTAGACACGAATATGAAGAATATGGTTCAACCACTAGAGGGTTAATGTGATAAGACTGTCCTATGGGTCTTGTTTCGAAAGTTAACAAGCCCATAACAATATTGCTCACTCAGTACTCCCACAAGATGGGAGCAAACCGCTACAAACATTATGAAGCGAGATTTCACACAGGACATTCACAAACTTCAAAATAGCAGGAAGGGAAAACATTTCAACAGAATATTCTCGATTTAGATATTCCGCGTTTTCTCATCAGCTGTCGGGCAGATTCAAGGCTACAAGGACACTTTAGATCTCTTAAACCTTTAACACGGTGTTGGTAGGGACGCGAGTGGTCACCGGTCACAGATTCTGAGTCAAGTACGCAAGCGTGCTTTGAGACAGAGAATTAAGGAGTAAGAGAAGCGCCACTACATGTTGGTCGGGGGCGGACTTTGAGCGAACCAATGCGAAATGGAACTCTTAGTCAGAAGAAAGAATAAAGTGACTGTTGGAATTCGTTACGATGGTGAATTTATGCAGCGACTAACCTGGGAAGGAAAGAGATAAAGGAGAGGAGAAAAATAGAAAGAAAAACGAGCACTGCAGGTGAAGTCCTGTGGACATGTGATATTCTATGATCACCCATTTCGACAGCCAGGTTTCGACGGAGGCAGCCAACTCCAGTCTGCAAGGGTGGAGCACTGGTCACATCCGGCAGAGTGAGGGCAAAGTCCCGCGTGGCGTGTCAGTGCTGGGAGAGAGGAATACCGAATCCCATCTATTCCGCAAATATCTGCTTGTGACCGATTTGTGACAGGAAACGTAGCAGATTTATGACCGTACGAGATGATGCACCCATGGCCACAAGCAACCACTGGAGGGTTTGGTGAGTTTACGCATGGGCTGAGAAGGGCGATAACAAACCAGCAAGTAGGGACTGGACTTGTCAACCGTAAGAGACAACTCGCGATGCTGGTGACCTACACCAATTAGACTTAATTCACATCAGACATTTGAGGGGAGAAGACTAGCCAGTACTGCAACTCGTTGCATAGTTGATATTCAAGAAGGAGTAGGTCTGAGTTCCGGGCGCTCATCCGTGTGGTATAAGTCGCTTCAGCAATCCAGAAGGCACGACACACCGTAGCTCAATGAATGGATTGCAAAAGCCTAATTTCGACGATGTAAACAGAGCAACCATAACTGCAAATTTAAACATATTGCGCGCCGCACAAATGGGTGAAGTTCAATCCGTGTGGAAGCAAAAGAGCGACATAACAATGGAACGACAAGAACGATTTTGAACGGTGAGATGTGCGTAAACCAGCTCAGGTGCAGATGGAAAAACTTACACACAATCTCGGCGACTAAATCGCGAATACGCGCAGTTCTCTGCTCCATCTGTTGCAGGCGTTTGGTTCGAATCAAACGAATGAAGAGTAGGGTAGCAAACAGCAACAGCAGTGAGGAGATGACCCATACTAGGGTAACACACATGTGTGAAAACCATTGGAACCAACGACGGAGGCGGCAAATACCAGTGAAGTAGGGTTGAATGCACTCGAGCTCGAAAATATCACTGGATTTACTGGAAACGAAGAGGAATGAAAATGGTGTTGTTTAAAGGGGGAGAACATATGGTAGAAACAAGTAAAACCATGTATAACGGTAAGGGGAGTTTGACAAAGTACACTAAACACTACACGTTCAATACAACCTGGAACTGTAAAAAGAAGGAAAAGGGACAACTGCACCTACTTTCAATGTTCAGTTATGGTGTTTAACTAATAATCTGAAGGACTCAGTATAGAAACGTTTATCAACACGTCCGAACTAGCTTAGGACGATGTGTTTCACTGCAGCGTCATTGCGAAGATGTTGACCAAACAGCTGGAAAGCGGTTGGCGGTAAGCAACAACAATAAGGAGGAAGTGACGATGTGATCCAGGAAGTACCAGGTTTCCATCTCATGAAATTCCCTCAATACAGTGCAAACTGCAATTCGCCTGAACCTTTCAGAAGCTAAAAAACGTTTTAGAAACCTCGATGACACTAACCTCTTGGAACGATAAATGAGCTCGAATAATTTCAATTTGTCGAAAAGAAGACTGCAACTCCTCAGCAAATCATGTGATAAGCTGTACAAAGCGTTAAATGTTTCGGAAACGACAGCTGCGGGCGGATACCCCAAATGATCGGGACCGTCAGAGACAGACGGACGATCATCTTTGAAACGCTTGCACCATTAACACCAAATTGTAACCGAAATATTTTGTAAATTTCACCTGCTCATATGCATCTACTCGTTAAAAATTTCACCACAGCACGCTGTCCAATGCGCAAGAACACACCAAACTGTCTGCCACCCTGAGTAATCTTGTATCAAACAGCGCACAGGAGCTATGGTTCCAGGTAGTAAGTGTTCCTACTGCATGCATTATTACCACCTTGCGCTTATATGGTGGTTCTGAAGTGACTTGAACGATCCATGTATGAAAGCGTGAGAGTTATCCCGCTGAGATCATTCTGGTTAATGAGTGACTGTACAGCTTGCTATGGCGGAGATCCATGCCAAGATAGAAATATTCACTTAAAAAGTCGGCCCAACGGCGGTAAGGGAGTGTAACCGCAGGAATGTAGCTAGAGGTCAAGCATGTAGGTGGTTGGGTAACACCAGCTTATTATGCATTACAAAATGTAACTAACGTTTCTGCATATCCCGGCGTGTCGCCATTCCGTACATACTTTGCCCTGTGCCTCCAGGCCCCATCACACTTTCAACCAGGTTTACAACACGCAGAGCGTACGGTTACGTTCAATCATCACTGCCTCCACAGATTAGCTCCTGTCTGGTGGGAACACCGCGTGAGCAATGAGCGTGTTCGGCATCGTGTGTTTGGTGAAGGAAGCGCGAATGTGAACCGATCAGCACAGTTATTTCACGCACCAGACTCCGATGCCTAGGCCACGTGTAGCGCAAGCTACCACACAGAACCACGACGTGCGTTGTTTGCGTGTCCAGGGTCTGGATGGTGGAAGAGGAATGGGGACCAACCGATGACGATGAAGAAAAGTGAAGAAGCTCAATTCCAACTTCGCCTAAGTTGATGCTTCTAGCCTGAAGGGATGATGTCTCAAGTACGGATGAACAGGTTTGGTTGGATACACTTGTTGTCATGGCGAAGAGCCGACCTCAATGTCTGTGTTGTGAGTCTCTTTGTCCCTCACACTCCTAGCTAAGTTCCCCACCAACCATGATCTCGCACACGATGCATAATCATTCATCATTATACACGTCAGCTAGAAGTGGGAAACACCTCAGCTACTGTGTCGCAATACATAAATGAAAATGGAAAATAAATACAAAAGTTGCATGCCAGCTGAGCTACCAGCAACGGATAGGCATCGTTCCGGAAAGCTACCAGCCGGATACTAGGCAAAAAGAAAAATTATTATGTTTTACACTAAGAAATGAGATCGTAGGTGGAGGGGGAGGCTAAAAGGGATGGGGAAGAACAAAGAAATCCACAACACGAACGCCACTGAGGTCGGCTCCTTGCCATGTCAGGAAGCGTATCCAGCCAGACGTGTTCACCGTCTTTTGGACTCCAACCATGGAGCCGTGACGCTCCAACCGAGGCCAGCTCCGAAGTGAGGGCCTTCATTCCTCTGGACCAAATCATCGCTTGGCCACCCCTCCTCTTCTTCCATCCACATCCCCGGTGAGCAAACAACGCACGTCGTGGAAGTCGATGGGCTGGCATGCGCAACACGTGGCCGAGCCATCGGAGCCCGGTGCGTGAAATAACGGTACTGAGCGGTTCAGTTCCTTTTCTGTGCCGTAAACAAGGCGTCGAACACGCTCGTTACTCACGCGGTGTTCCCACTAGATGTGAGCCAAACTGCAAAGGCACCGGTGGTCGAATGTAACTAGCCTCTTCATGTCCGCATAATAGGAAAAGAATCATAATATAATTGGTTTCTGATTGTTATATTAGGTAACGCCTAGTATCTCGTCTCTTTCTTATATACGATCTGTTTGTATCGCAGTACAAAAGCTGATGTTTCTTACCTTTCGCCAAAGTACAAGTATGATGAGAACGACGACATTCACGTGATCATTATCTGTTCCTGATCATCCTTCGTCCTCCTTCTGGACGTATTCAGTCACACTACAGGCCCTCGTCACGACCACGCGCGTATCTGTGACGCCGTTTGACCCAGCTTAACTATGGGCATCGCCTTCACAGTTGAGACTGGCGCGTTGGTGAAGCAGTCTTGCACTCACACCCCTTTACCCATGTCCGCATATTGACATCCTACCTTCTCCTCAGCTTTTTGATGTCTTCCCTCCCGCCCGATATTGACCGGTTTACATGGGCCCCGCTTGGCCTTATAAACCAAGCATGAATGCTTTCTCTCATTATAGTTCTTGGTTCGGTAGCACTTCCGTAGCCTGTTGTCGGGGCTTGGCTCTGCTTGGCGGCAGGTTGTATTTTGATCATGTAATTGGTGTGCACATTTTTGGTTCGGATATTGTTGGGGCTTGTATTGGAATTAATGTTTTTTTAAGATAACACCATGTAGGGGCTTTGACTTTTGGATCAAGCCGTGGGTTCTACGCGTTGACTAAGTCAGTGACACGATTCGTCGTTTACACAAGTAATCTGAAACAATGACAGAATAGGCGAATTACACTGTATCGTCGATAATCCACTCCACTGTCGGGAAGCAACCGGGTCATTTCCATACATCCCGTGATACATATAATATTCCACCTAGTTGTTTTGCCCTACAGAGTTATCACGTGCTTTCCACAGTTCAGTAGGCGCGTACGTAAGCAGTTCAACTCCGTGGGGTCACAAACCAAACAACCTGGAAAATTTATCTACGTCACACAAAAGTTTTTGGAAACAAGTATTCTAAAAAAGAATACTAAATGAAATACAGACGATCTACACCAGTTTAAGCAGTTCAACAGTTTGAAGTTCATCATCGAAACAGTGTCGAGACTGATGCGTCGAGAACTATCACCAGTTGACGGTAAATGCGAAGCAAGAAGAGCCGATAGCATTCCGCTGGGACGTGGCAACCGAGAACTGCTGTCACGTAACCCGCGTGGTTCTGCACCTGATGAAGAACATCTGTTAAATAACACAGTGTCGTCGATTGTTCGATACCAAATATAAAGGGCAAGACATCCGGATAAGCTGAGGGTTCAAGAGTTTAATTTTACTTTGTATGACACAGCAGATTTGCGTCGTATGTCACCTCTGTGAAAATGTTCTTCCCAGCAATCTCCTCACTTATCCCATTGTGGTCACCTACATTATATGTATCTCAGTGTCCCAAACGATCATCCTTTTCAACGAAAACTAAGGTGAACTTTACTCAGAGCCCATTGCGTGACCTTCACGCGCCTACTCTGCCCTTATACAGGGCGAAAGTTTTGTCACTGATCCCGGGCAGGCAAACGTAGCCGCTACACCACTGCATGCGGGTGTGTCCGAAACTAAGATCAATGTCTCTCACGGGGTTGTTAAATTAATTGCGTCCTATTAGTTGCAAGCATCCAGAGACCCTGATACGGCTACCACTGGTCAGGCTGGAGTGGGCATTGTTCTCAGCTCCAAGCATGAGTTATCGCTGGTTGATTGAATTCCTGTGAACAGCCGGCCGCATGCAGCCTGTTTGATGACATCAACTAAAACGGATTCACGATGCGCTGTTTGTTTGTGGTTTCCGCTTATGCTCCCACTGACTGTAGTTCTAATGACACCAAGGACGGATGCTACAAGAAACTGAACAAACTACTACGTAGTGTTATCAGCTCAGATACTATAGTACTTACAGGGGATTTGACTACACAATTCGTTTTTTAGGCTCCTTAGAAGCTCAGCTAGGTGGTAAATATGGGCTTAACTCCGACTGTACGGACAACAGCGAGCGTCTGCTGCAACTGTGTGCGGAGCACCAGGAAGGAGTAGGTAAGAGAAGTAGATAATTATCGCAAGCGCTTCCAACTAATCCGCAGCACTGGTTTCATGAAACTAGACGTCGGTGAACCATCGCAATGAGGCTGGATCTTACCGTAGTGTGATGGTTTGTGTGCCTCAGTGATCCATTGAGCTATGCTGGGTGGTGCTTTTGCACCTTCAGAGCCACTCATACCAGATTGGTCAATGGTTGGAGACCAGACAAACTCAGCCTCTTGGTCCTCCAGGCTGGACTGCCGAACAACCTCCTCGTGGTGCCAGCTGGGTGGTTCGGGTTTTTCCCGTTCCAGCAAATGGTTCGGCGTCAGTGTTACAGGACGTGGTGGGTTTTCGTCTGGCAAGTGTTCTCCCTATAAAAAGCCACAAATGTCTGTTTAATAACACTGCGACGTGGCGGATGTGACTCGCCATTAAATAAAGTCCCTGAATCTTGCCCCTCCCAGAGAGGCATTGTACTTCAAGGGTGCGTTGGACCCCTGGTGCTTCACGGATCGGAAGACGCACGAACCATCTATTTGTTCACTGGCTCCCAACGGGTTACGACGCCCTCATATCGCCCTGCTGCCTTGTAGGTTAGATCTTTGATCAAAGG